GTCTGTGTGCCACTCGGCGAGAAGGCGGCCGACAGCTTCCGAAACGTTCTTGACATACGGAAGTGTCCGCCAAGATTTGGTGTCCGTGCGGTTAGGCCTTTCGTCCCTTTTGCGTATGCACCGTTCGACGAAGTTGCGCGGGCAGCAATTGGCTTTGAAGACCCGTCGACGTATTGTAGTTCGGCAATCTTGTCTTCCGGCTCACTGCAGTGCGTTTCGACACGCCGATAGAGCGTCCTTACACAACTGCGTTTGTGGCTGATTTGGTGGTTACTGTTGAAGTTCAGTTTTTGCGTCGTGTTCGTCGCTTTTCTGAACACTTTGGTCTTTAGGCCACCACAATATTTGCGGCAGACGCGGACCTAAAGGAATGCCAACTCGTTATTTTCTTCCTCCTCCATCGTAAATAGTATGTCCGGGAAGACGCTGTTGAGACGTCCTTTGAACGTTAGAACCTGATCCCGTTCGATGACGACAAAGGTATCGTTCACGTACCGAGCCCAGAATTTCGGTCTGTGGTGTTGGAAGACCAGCGACTCTAACCGTTGCAGGACCGCCTCGGCGATGAATCCCGAAATCGGCGAACCCATTGGTGTGCCCTTCACCTGTTCGTATATTGTCCCGTCGAACGTGAAGTATGTCCTGAGACAGACCTTCAGGAGTTGAAGAATTTGGGCGTGTCCAAGACGATTTTCCGTTTCACCGTATTTGTTTTGTGGTAGCAGCTCAATTGTCTCGATCGCCAGGTCCTGGGGAATAGAAGTAAAAAGGGATGTAACATCAAAAGATACCATGACCTCATGTGGATGGATGCTTACCCCTTTGAGTTTCTCCAGGAATTGTGCTGACGAAGAGACCGTGGTGTCTGACTCAGCGGTCAGGAACTTGAGACGCCGGAACAGCCACTGAGCCAGTCCGTACGTTGGAGTCCCTTTTAGCGACACGATGGGTCGGAGATTCGCGCCGACTTTGTGCACCTTAGGGAGGCCATAGAATCGGGCCAAAGCCGTATCTTGAGGTCTCGCCATGCGTCTGTCAGTCGGTGTTATTGCACCTGAGTTTTCCAAGGCCAACAACGTAGCATTAATTTCGCGTGTCAGCGCCTTTAAAGGGTTCGTTGCACATGGGACATAGAACTGTCGGTCCTCCAGTAAACCTTTGGCTTTCTGAAGGTAGTCTGTCCTGTCCAGTACAACCGTGGCGCGTCCTTTGTCTGCTGGCACGATGACCGGGTCTTTGTCGGCCTTGAGTTCTCTAAGCGCATCACATTCGACCTTGGAAAGCACTTCCCGCGGCCTGTGGGCCATCAGGATAGACGACACTTGGTGTCGGATGAGGCTCTTAGTCTCCTCCGTTGATTCCGTCTGACAAAGGATTGATTCCGCTGCTGCAATCATATTAATAGTTTTGGCGTCAGCCGTCTTAAATGAAGCTTCGTGCCGTAAAACCTGCATCTGATCCTTCGTCAGCTCCTTTGATGACAGGCTGTGCACCAGTTTGTCGTTTCTGGGCGACGTTGGATTAGGAAGCTTTCGAAATTTGTTCTCCAGTGCTGCATCGCGTATCATGCTCTGTTCGCGGGCTTGTTCAGCTATCCTCCGCTGGAGCAGATTCGTACCGATCTCACCCATGAACTCACAGCATCTGGTCTTTTCTTGGTCAATCCTTTGACAGTACTTACGAAGTCTCGCGTGACAATCTTGGGGGAGCACTCGATTCATCCTTATGCCGTGCTGAAATACTGCTCGTCTCGCCAAATCCGTGTTAACCGGTGGCTTGTATGAAACACATTTCGGTAACACATTATTGTCGAGACACCTGCACAGAAACCTGATCTGCGAATACGTGGAGGCCTCCCGAAGAGCGAAGGTTTCCCATCGCCGGGCCGATCGGAACGCATCGCGTCCAAATACATTGCCAACAGAAGCGAAGAGACGAGTCCCAGAAAATAGTCTTGAACTGGACAAAATTGCCTAACTACAATACGTCGACGGGTCTTCAAAGCCAATTGCTACCCGCGCAACTTCGTCGAACGGTGCATACGCAAAAGGGACGAAAGGCCTAACCGCACGGACACCAAATCTTGGCGGACACTTCCGTATGTCAAGAACGTTTCGGAAGCTGTCGGCCGCCTTCTCGCCGAGTGGCACACAGA